CCATAAACAGTTAGCAGCTTTTTCCTCGTAATCTCATAAAGACACAATCCAAGCAGTCGACCAAAAGATGTTACCCCGAGACGGTCCGAATTGCCTTTTACCTGTTACCGATGTGGAAGTCAGCATTTATTGGCTTAGCAATGTCGTCATAAACAGAGTATCTGCCGCCAATGTGGAAAATTTGGGCACTTGGCTTGAGTTTGCCGATCTAAAGCTTGCACAGCCGCGACATCACGTTTTCCCAAGAAGCCCGTGAAGGTCGTCCAGTCTTCAGACGAAGAAGACCAGCTAAACACGATCTGGAACGCAACGTCGAGCATCTGCAGCATTCACCCACCCTACACTGTGCAACTGGAAATAGAAGGCCAGTTGGTTAAAATGAAAGTTGATACCGGTGTCTCAGTTACCATAATCAGTGCTGCATCAGTTAAAAGATTACCCAAGTTATCCCCCTGTGAATCAACTTTGCGTACGTACACTGGGCAGCCGATACCAGTCCTGGGAAAATGCACTGTTCATGTAAATTACCATGGGGAGAAGCGGACCTTATAGGCATATGTTGTGGCGAATGATTGTCCAAACTTACTCGGGCGCGACTGGATTAAATGCCTTCCGGCCACGCTAGAGACAGTGAAGTTCATGTCCATTAACCAGCGCTTGGAGGATGTGCTCAACAAATATCCTGACGTTTTTGTTGATAGACTAGAAAAATTGCACGGATATCATGCTAGGATCAAATTACGGCCCGGAACTCAGCCCCGTTTTATCAGGGCGCGTACCCTACCTTATTCCCTGAGATCAAAGGTGGAAGACGAGATAAAGAGATGGCAATCAGCAGGAACAATCGAGCCAGTCTAATACAGTGAGTGAGGAGTTTCAATAGTTGCAGTCTTGAAGCCAGATGGTTCTGTGCGTATTTGTGGTGACTATAAACTAACTGTTAATCGTTGTTTAACTCTGGATAAATATCCCTTACCTCGGATAGAGGATCTGTATGCTACGCTGGCAGGCGGACGAAAGTTTACACAGATCGACCTCAGTCACGCGTGCTTACAAATTGAGTTAGACGACACCTCTCGCTCATGCACTACAATAAGTACACACATGGGTTTAGTACAGTACAAACGTCTGCCCTTCGGAATCAGTTCGACCCCACGATATTCCAAATGATCATTGACACCCTGATCAAAGATATTCCTTTCACTTGGGCTTATCTTGAGGACATTCTAATTACAGGATGTACAGATGATGAACATTTACAAACGTTATCCACTGTGCTCGAATGTCTACAACAGAGTGGACTCAAACTGAAGAAGTCCAAGAGTACGTTTTTCTCAGATTATGTTCGTTACCTTGGTTACCGCCTCGAGAAAAACGGAGTGCACGTGTTAGAAGACAAAGTAAAGCCCATCCTTATCGCACCTGAACCAAAGAATGAAGCTGAGCGCCGATCGTTTTAAGGGATGTTTTCTCCCCATCGTCGCGTCTTACCTAACGTCTCAACAGCATTCGCACTCTTGTACGAACTGTCGCACAAGGGGAAGTCCTGGACTTGGGGTCCGGATCAAAGAAAGGTCTTCATAGATGCAAGAAGGGTGCTCAGCGCCTCCCCGTATATCGTGCACTTCGATCCGAGCAGGTCTCGAGTGCTGCAGTGTGATGCTTTCCCACGTGGAGTAGGCACAATCCATGGCCATCGGAGAGATGACAGTTCTCTTCGTTCAATCGCTCTTGCTTCTCATACCCTGCAACCCGCTGAAAGAAAGTACTCCCAACTGGACAGAGAGGCCTTAGCGATTATTTTCAGAGGAAAACATTTCTACTAGTACGTCTGGGGAAGACAGCTGGATATCCACACATCCGCCACCGCTGAGTCATAAACGCGCGACTTGCGAGAGTGATCGCGAGATCTAGGGACTGCGGAGTGCGCGAGGGTCCAACACTAACATGACTTGTTTTCTCCGCGAGATCTATCTACATGCGAAACGCGACTATGAGCATCAAGCGCAGTCCCTCGCGCATATTCTTTAAACCGGCCGCTATGCACATCACTGCAAAACGTACAGAAGCATACACGTAATTTCATCAGCGCTATATCGCGACTGCGGACACCAATACCAATCATCCTGAGTCCCTACTCAGCGATGCGCGCAAGTCACATCACTCTCTATGATTGCCGCACACAAGCACCAACTCCGACCGCGCAACAACAAGACAAACGCGCAACGCTATATCGCGGTCTGCGAACCCTCTCAGATTAGGCACGCTGATCCACACGCACGTATAGCATGAGGCGCGGACACTAGATAATGCGCGCAGACAGAGCGAGCACCCGTTACTCTCCACTCGCACACGCTCTCGCGCCTACCGGATGCACATGGGCGCTCGCCGTGCACCGAGCGTTAGCCGTGCGCATCTCGCTATGTATCGCCGTCTGATACTCTCCGCCGGTGTCAGACGTGCACGCTAGTAGTTGATTCTGAGCATCTTCGCGTGCGATGAGGCGCGACTGTCTCTAGTGGTGCGAAGATACACGGCGAGAGACGACACACATCAGACTACGAGACACACTGCGGACGACCGCGTATCTTTGCGAGCACTGTCCGGCGCTGTAAACTGCTGTTGATCTATACGACGGCTGTATATTTGAGGCTGAGCATGGTCCACCAGAGGAACTACGGTTCCAGTTATCGCGCGCCAGACGTGTTTCTGCATGTCTGCCATAGCCGACCGATATACCCTCGGCGAGAGTGACCTGTCACGTGAGACGGAGCCCGCCGATAGCACTTTGGTATCCTCACTAGACAGCAGCGAGGAGTGCACACACCTACTTGGATATAGAGCCGGGTGATCACACGATTCCTCGCAAGAACAAACCATTGGGCGCGCAGTGAGACAGCCCGGCGACCAACAACACTCGTTATATAGTGGTTTCCATAGAGAGTGGCTAAAGACAATTAATCTTCGCTGTCCCGATCCGCAATCATCTCTCTTATACAACTAGCGCTTCTCGTCCCGATGAAGATCTACAAGTCCTCTCTCTAGAGGCTGGTAATCAACAACATAAATACGACAATCACTCTGTATTTATATGTTGGCGTGGGCCAAACTCAGGAGACTAGGTAGAAGCTTTGATTGCTCTGAATCGTCACACATTATCCGATACTTATCTCTGTCTTTGCCGTAACTCAGCTAGAACATGTGACCGAAGATACGAGTCATATATATGAAGTGAGAGCTACTATTCTAAGATAATACACAGGTAAATGTGATGCAGTAACATGATTCCTCTTTCTCCTTTATCGTGTCTATTGACGGTACACGTGACACAAGCAAGCAAGCAGTATGAGTATCTGCACTCGCGAGCCTATCTCAGGAATGAAATCTTTCTACCATGTTTAGGTAAGACGCAGAGACATAAAGAAAGACATAGACAGCATAAGTCGTCAACAATAATCTCAATCGTGACGTCACATCAACTGCTATCACAAGTGCGATCTATAAGCTGAAGACGCGTCCGATTCACCCTGCACAGAGACCACGATATACTTATAAATCTCACGCGCTAAGAGAGATAACTAGTTTGCATAGTGTCTCTCCGAGGTATCCCACATCAGCAGCGTCAGCAGAAGGTGTGTCACGTATTACGAAAAGTGAACATGACAACACACAGTACAAAAATGTTTTGATACAGGACAACCAGCGGTTATGATAAGCGACATCTGCTACGCACGGTATCTTAACAACTTTTTATACTGTGAGTATATGTATTAAGGAACAGTAGGCGTAGCAGCGTTGGTTCACCAACCTCATAACACAGAGTATCGTCACTAGTACGCTAGTAGATATTTGTTGTGAGATTGCGACACACGCCTTATGTCACTATCTGTCTGTACTCGACGCATAGTCTGAGCGAGGCGAACAAACGAGTGAGCAGAAGGAACTAATGGTACGCATAAGAGAGCAACATGCGGAGCAGATTCAGATGACTCAGTTGTGAGTACATCTTTACACAGAGTGAGAACACATCTCCACAATGTCATTGACATCTGTCATTTTCTGTGGCGATGATTCGAGACAGATCAGGTAGGAGCGACACACACAGTGTGATGTGAGAGGGACACTTTAGAGGAGGTGGTACATATCCTTTCGAGTGTGGTTGTAGTGGTAGAGTCATTCTGTTATGGTTCAGCAATCTGATTATGTTTATGGTAGGGGAGACTAGTTATACGAGGAGGGTAGGAGAGATGGACTCAGTTTAGTACAGAGAGTCAGGGAGCGACGACTAGTGGGAGTCATAGCAACAAAGTGAACGACTATCATGACGTTGCAACAACACATGTTGACACACACGAGCGGTTTGTACAGTTTCACATCTACAGGGGATGAAAGTTATGTGGACATAGGTGTTAGCTACATGACAGAGAACTGGGACAACTTTTGTGGTGGTACAGATGTCGATAACTCTTGGGGGTAGAGCTCTACGACAATACATATGACTAGAAATTAGAGACATCAGTCATGCGCTCTGTAGTTAATATAGGTAGGTTCGATGACACACATGGCACGAAGTAGAACATAGATAGCTTAATTGACTAGTAGAACACACACTCTACATGCATAGGAGCGTGGCAGTTAGATTTGCTGAGGTGACTGAGGGTGCATAGGCAAGGTGTCTTTCATTATGTTCTCGAGTGAATTTATGCCACAGTATTAGACTATATGCGTCGAAACGACAGAAATTGAAGGGTATTTGAGGTTATAGGGTGGGGTGAATTTCTAGTATTATGATCAAGCAAGTACACACACACATACACGAGAGGGGACTCTGGAACAAGTACACAGGTTTGAGTGTCAGCATACACGTGAGTGTTTCACACAGGTGTGTCACACTTTCAAACAGAGTCAGGAAGGAACACAGTCTATCAGGTGACACGAGGAGTTGGACTTATGGCTGTGGCGAGTGAGAGACGCGAGGAACAGATACATTAGAGAGTACGATGCAAGCCAGGGATAGGAGGCAGCACTATTATGTGATTGAGTTGATGCAGCGTTTACTAGGTTGTTCTCACACGAGGTATCAGCGGAGTGGAGGCAGTGGTCTGAGTTTGTGCAGTACGTGGGTGTGTTATCTTCATGAGGAAGACGACGTTGTGGAATGTCGTCAGATTGGTGATGAGATGAGTGAGCAGATGAGGGAAGGAAAGGGGAGTGGATTATGGTTAGTTGGTGGAGGTGGTGGTTTTGAGGGGAATTTAGTAAGGTAGAGGGAGGGGGAAGGGGTGAGGAGTTGGTTATGTAGGTTATGTTGGGGGGGTTTGGGGATGAGGGGGGGTTATTAGTAGGTGTGGGGAGGAAATTTTTGTTATGTAGTATAGTTGGTTTGGGTGGGGGGGGGGGGGGGGGGGGGGGGGGGGGGGGGGGGGGGGGGGGGGGGGAGGTTAGGAATTATTGTGGAGTGTAGAAGTGTTGGGTGATATGATTGAGTAGTAAAGGGGTTAATTAAGACAGAAACGATTTGAAATTAAATTATAATGTAAAATATATAAACGGAGGCTTGTTTTCTCCTTATTAAAAAGCAGGACAAGCCCCTCGGTGAACTTGAGTTAAAAAGAGCACAAGGATTACTGGCTAAAGAGAAACGAGCGCTGAAGTCTACAAACAAATCCAGAAAGTCAAAATGATGCGGACACGAAATAACATCCAACCTGATAGTTTCCGTCATTACTCTATCAGACAAACCTCTGACTTAAGACCCTTATATAATAATAAGTACTCTAAAAAATCACTACCTTATTGTTCACTGTTCTATGTGATGTACCTTTGTCCAGAACACCTATTAGTATTGTAAAACTGAGCACAGTGACTTTCAATAGCAGAGATATTCAGCACCACATGGACCGACTACGACCATCTCTTATCCTGCTTCAGATGGTCTACTAATCTCCTTGCTAAAATACGGTGGCCATGATATACCAGTTTTACTCTTAATCTTGATTACCATGTCCATAGACTCGGGCATATTTTCAAGCCAATGGAAACTCGCGCTAGTTTGGCCTAGGCACAAAAATGGCCCAAAAGCAGACATCAGAAACTACCGCCCGATAAGTTGCACGCCTGCTGTTGCAAGAGTAAGGGAGGAAATGGTCAAAGAGAAAACAATAAACCATTTGCTCTCACAAAACGTGGTAGACCAGACTCAGAATGGTTTTTGTAGGACTAGTTAATACTAGTCCGAGACGATGCGCGTAATTAAGCGCGGATATCAGAAGGCAATTGGAGTCGGACACAGCGGACTGTATTCGATGGGCTACAACAAGAAACGGACGGATGAAGCGAGGCAAGAGCGTACACGTGAGCGCGGGGACTTACAAGGCAGTTGTGTGTCGAGCCGGTTGTAAGATTAAAACAAGAAGGAGTAATGTACAATCGGTCAACAAGTAAATTGTACACGAAAGATAAGAGTTATCTTTTTGGGCGCTACAGAGCTCCCCCCTAGAAGGCTGAACATAGAAAGCCTTCGAAATCGAAAAGGAATGTTGAAACGAGGTTCGTAAGGCGAAATCGTGCCGAGTAAAAATGGGCGTGCGTTCGTGTAAATGGGGGTTCGTCGGAAGTCGGAGTCCGCTGTGCCGTTTATGATTTGTTATTTATTGAATGCAGGGCAGGGTGCATTTCGGCGAGCCGTTGGAGCGGGCTTGTCGGACTACAAAAAACTGGCTAGTCCAGAAAAAGGCCGACAGGACCTCAACCTCCGCTGCTGCCAAACGGTGCGCTTGGGAGTGGTCTCTCCCCCCGCCGCACCCCGCCCCGCGCCAAAACGACCCTCGTCCCACGAAGAAAACGACCACGGTCCCACGGAGAAGCGACCCTCGTCTCGCGGAGAAGCGATCCTCGTCCCGCGAAGAAGCAATCTTCCCGTCCCGCGGAGAAGCGACCAGTGTTCGCGTCAGGGTCCTCGAAAACATTCCTCGTGTGGGCCAGTCGATCGAAGGGGAGGGTTGGGGCATGTAAAGACGAGAAAATAGAAAAACACGCGCAGAAAACGCCAAAAAGAACAAACGAATGATCTGCGTGTTTAAATATTTTTTGGTTTTTGAATATTTTTTGAAAAAGGTTTTTCGGAGGTTTTTTGATATTTTTGTTTGTTTTCAAAACGTTGATCGACCAAAAACGGGGCAAATATATACAATATCTACAAAGCTAAAAATATTTACACTGTACATAGTCGGAGAAACGGACGGGCTTACGTACCTCCCGACCACGGCGATTGGTCGTGGGAGGCGGCGGACTAGATTCGGGAGAGGTTGGGACGGCTTGTAGACCGA